GATAATTCTTTCATACTCAAAATTCATCAACTTTTTTTTTACTATTAAAAAAAAAAGGTGATAAAATAACCAAGCAAAAATAATATGTATACATAGGACTATTAATGTAGGTGGTATAAAATGTGTTATTATTTTTTTTTTTAGAAAGTTATATGGTTATATAAATTAAAATTTATATAAATTATTAAAATGGTTCTAAACTTTTGGCCAGGAAGTGTATATACAATATTTATTTTTTATATTTGTAATAATTTGATATGGCTTAATATTAATTACATGGATATTCTTTTTGAAGGTGGACAGGAATTTTTCTGATTTTATAATTGTACTCCTAAAATTTATATTGTATATGTATTGTTCAATCAAAAAATTGAATATAACATTTTTATTGTTTTCAAAAAGAATCAGCCATACCATATAAACATAACATTATGAGAAAAAGTTTGCTAAGCAAGGTTAAGCTAGTTTAAAAAAAAAAAATAAATAAAAAATAAAATAACATTATGAGAATGAATTCCCACATTGTAATATCAATTCATTATTATTTTTATGGATGAAACTGGTGAGAAAACAAGTTTTATTACCTATCATTATTGATTTTCTTTATTAGGAATACACGATCTTCTTGACCTACACATAATTGCGATACTCTGATATTTTTAATGTAACCATACGTTATTTAAATTTATTAAGACGTAGTTTTGTGAAACTTCCATTTTTAGTTGAATGTAATCTGAAAAACTAAACATCATTCTATATTTGGATAGAAAAAAAGAAATTCCCATGAGAATAGTTCCCCTTGACACAACACAAATAACGCCCAAGCACAACAATTGGACGTTTTATTTGCAGTTTTGTAATTTTCTATAAAAGCTGAACCAACGCAACGTGCAAATTTTTCAACCCTTCCCAATTTGTGAACGGTTTATGATAAAATGGTCGCCCAAGAACAGTCAGGGATACTTTCTGGGCAAAACCCAGTAACTTATAATAAAAATGATCCCATAGTAGTGTTCATAGTACAGGTAGATTCGTTCTTCCGAAGTAACAGAAATAAATAGACGCGCGTACTAAAAAAAAGCTTTTTCAATGACCTTTTAATAAGGTTATAATCATTATTGTAGTTACGCGCGTCATTTATCTGGCACTCATATGGTTCCGTCAGCCACGCGTCATTGCAGAGGTTGTTGGTGGCATTATACTCGGTCCATCGGTGTTGGGACGCATTCCGGGATTTAAGGCCACAATCTTTCCAGACGAATCAATGCCTAATTTAAACCTACTTGCAAATTTGGGTTTGGTTCTTTTTTTGTTTATTGTCGGTGTTGAATTAAATCCAAAGCTTTTGTTAAAGAATGTGAGGGTCGCCTTGACAATTTCCGCTGCTGGAATCGCGTTGCCATTTGCTCTTGGTATCGGCGTTGGTTATGGAATATACAAAAGTTTGAATAATGACGGGGTGCCGTTCACCAGTTTCTTGCTTTTCATTGGAGTGGCTATGTCTATCACGGTATTGTTATTATTTATTATTAGGTCTCATATGATAACATGATAATTTAATTACTCACATTCTTTAATGGACAGGCTTTTCCCGTACTTGCGCGAATTTTATCAGAACTTCAACTTTTACGCACTCCAGTAGGCTTTACCGCTCTTACTGCCGGTGTTGGTGATGACGTAGCTGCGTGGATATTGCTTGCGTTGGTGGTTTCCATCATTAATTCATCCAATAGTCTTAATGCGTTATACGCATTATTACTTGCAATCGCTTGGGTAGGAGTCGTCATATTTATTATACGTCCCATACTGTTAAAGCTTATCGTCAGAACGGGTAGTGAAAATGGTCCCACCATGATCATGATGGCCATTACATTATGTCTTGTATTGCTTTCCGCATTTTATACGGACATCATTGGAATCCACTCAATATTCGGTGGCTTCCTAATTGGAGTCATTATACCCCACGAGGGTGGGTTTGCTGTTGGTATTACCGAAAAAATTGAAGACCTAGTTAGTGTCCTACTTTTACCAATCGTAAGTATATTTTCAGGCTAAATTTATAGAACTTTGTTTTTTGATAATTTTTCACAGTTTCAATGTTTACTTTCAGTACTTTGCATTGTCTGGACTGAAAACTCAAATCGGTCTTCTTAATGACGGTACATCTTGGGGCTTCGTAATTTTAGTGATCCTGGTCGCCATGTTTGGAAAAATAACTGGTTGTACGTTGGCCGCTAGGCTCAACAAATTAGAATGGAGGGAATCCTTCACTATTGGTATTTTTATGAGTTGTAAAGGGTAACGTATTGATTTGATTTCTTATAGAAAGTAAACGAAGTGAGATTCACGAATATATGCCCTCTATTTAATAGTCTAGTTGAGTTGATCGTTCTCAATATTGGGTATGATGCCAAAATTTTAAATCCTAAGGTTTTTGTGATCATGGTCGTCATGTGAGTATTTCTTTGCTTTTATTTTAATACCGTTTCGTACAAGAAAACGAATCAGAAAATAATAATAATAATTTATTTTATACAGGGCTCTCATAACGACATTCTTGACAACTCCCCTTGCAACCTATGTATATCCTTATGAATATCAAAAAAAGATGGAGATTCGGCGCGCTAAAGCTCGTGACAGTGAGCAAGGACAAAGTCAAATTGATGGTTCTCACAAAGGAGACGACGCTGTGACTTTCTCAGAGAAAAAAAAATTGATGGTCGTCGTTAACAAAGTTGAAGATCTCCCGGCAATGATGACCCTCGTTCAGATATTACAATCTCAATTCGTCAATGATTCTTTGAATTCCGAAAATCAGATTGAAGTTCATAGAAATTCATCTCAAGGAGTAGTGCACGTTTTGCGTCTCGTCCAATTGACACAGCGTATTTCGGCAGTCATGAAATTCAATGAAACGGAAGAGACGGTTTTACATGATCCAATAATGAACGTCTTCCGTGCATTTGGACGATTGAATCTTGTAAAGGTCAAAGCCAATTTGGCCGTGACTGCGCGACACGAATTTCATCAACAAGTTTTGGAAAATGCAAGAGATAATGATTGCAACATGGTCGTAATACCATGGGGTGGTGCTGGTGCAATTATTGATAATCCCGCGGATCCACTAGAAGATGTTTTAGGACCACGTCAACTGAGGGAAACTAGCCCACAACATGCTCACTTTATCCAGGAGTCGTTCCATCATCTAGTAAATGTTTCACCTGTAGCTGTATTCATTGATCGCGGTCTTGGGGTATCTAGTGAACATGGAGCTTTGGACATTCATATATTTTTGCCCTTCTTTGGTGGTTCTGATGACCGCGAAGCACTTTCGTTTGTTATTCGATTACTGGATAACCCTCATGTTACGGTTAGTGTATTGAAAATAACAAGATCTTTGGTGCCCACTCGGGATGATGTGACCTTTCAATCTTCAACTTTGAAAGAAGTTGAGTCACCCGCGATTATTGTTGAAGAAGGCGATCAACGACCCTCGCTTGCACACAGAGTTTCATCGGCATCCGCTCATGTCCTTCATTCAAGTGCACTTGATGAATCCGATGCAGCCGATAAAGCGTTGTTGGCACAATATTTGAAATTGCAATCGACGAAACATAATCATGCTCAATTCGCTGAAGTCATCTCTGCCACACCACTGCAAATTGCAGTTGAACGTGCAAAGAAGGCGGTTGGCACGAAGGATTTGGTTGTTTTAGGACGCGGAAGGCAAGAAGCAGCAGTAAATCATAGAGGCGAATTTTTGGAAATGATCAAGAACACTGATGTATCGTATGGTGGGGATACTCGTAAATCATTAGGTGACGTCGCCGTGTCTTTCTTAGTCGGTGAGGTTGCTTCAAGTATTCTGGTTATTCAATCCAAGAAATCCCTTGATGCACCTAAATAAGATTCTTGATTATCAAAACAAAAAATTATGAATTTCGTGAAGTGTGTAATGTATCATCTGTAATACCTTACCCTTGTATTTTATCATTGTATTAGTATTTGAACTAAAATATGTTTGTGTACAATATTTGATATTAAATTGGAAATCATGATTAGAATATTAGCATGAGTAATGTTAATTATATAAATTTAATTTCACAACATATATAGATTCTTTAATAAAATTTAAATTTCTATTATTTATTTTTTTTTTTTTATGGCCTCAATGGAAAGAGAAAAAATACTTGTAAAATAATATACATAAAATACTAAAAATAATTATAGTGATAAATGTACATAAAAAAATTGACTTGAAAATTTTAATTATTGATTTTTTTTTTAAAAATATTAAAAATAATTCAATTGGAATATACGATGTATTGTTTTTTTTTTTTTTTTTTTTAGCCAAGAATAGCCATATGCCTTGAAAATCTTAATCGATAAGGGATGACCTTTCCCAATGATATTCAGGGCTTGAGTATCACGGATGATATTTTCTATATATAAAATAACAAAGAGATATGTTAATATGTCTTTTTTTGAATCAAAATAAACACATCTTTTTCTTATCGTATTACATCATTCAAGTGCCAAGAAGATCAAATTCAAAAATCACCGTTTGATGGGCAAATGTTTACGAACTCTGCATTTTAATATCCTGTTATGAGCAAGGATCAAAACCATTTGATTTAAACTATATCGAATCGTTTGAGTCGGGTTCTAAAACAAGTTTTTCGGATTCTTGGTACAAATAAAATACTAGCAATGCATCGAGTGCTTACACTAATTTTCTTTAGTACTTGGTGTGACATTATTAAATGCTTGCTGTGACCCAATTAGGTCGAATTTAATTAGACATACTGAAAAATCTAATTTAGCAGGTACAATGGCAGTATTTTTATTTGCGCCTCAGTCTTAAAAGTCGGATTATAGTAATTATGGGTTAGTAATGATAGCCAGCCATTTGTTATGTATATGTGACATCGTTGACTCGTGTTATAAAAATATTGTTCTTGGTTATTTCTCTAAATCATATCGAAAAGTCGTGGATAATAATGGACAACGAACAAACGGAGATTGTGGAAATTCATGATCAACAGCCTTCGCTGGATAATTATGATGAAACTTCTGATGAAGCTTCTGATGAAACCAATACCAATGGTAGGATAGATGAGTCTTTTATTGTTTTCAAGTTCAGATAGTTAACGATAATCATCAGACTCTAGGGAGGGCAGCAACACAGGAAAAGGAAGATTTCAAAAGGTGGCGAAAAGAGTCATCAGTCTTAATCGAATATTAACAGGTAAATCACATCAATGAATGGATTTTTTTTATTTAATTATTATCAATAAATATTTAACATGATCCATTGTCTGAATATAAAGCTGAGAACATTTGGTCGGCCGGGCAAGATCCGGGGATTGATGCATACACAGCGGATTCTAACATTTATGTAAGGTTTTTTTCCTTCGTCTATAAACGTGAAAAGTTTTTTGAATGTTTAATGAAAACTTATAAAATCAAAAAAAAAAAAAAAGTCAAGCTGCCAAATTTTCTGCTCGGATTATAGTGAAGGTAAGCAGTCACTTGAGGCAAAATTTTTGAATATCTACTCATGCAATTCTCCATTTGCAGAGGGTCAATCGAAAACCGAATTAACGAACGGAACTCTGTCCGAATTTCTAAAGCAAGAGGTATAAGAAACTTTTATATATTGATCTTTTGGATGAATTACTTTGTCCAGGTGCGATTTTGAATGAGTTTTTTAGAGACCGAAAGATAGCAAAGTACGATGGATTAATGTGGATGGGATCTCTTGGGACGTTGTAAAAGTTCTTGCGATCCACTACGATCTGCATCCCTTAAGTGTTGAAGACATCATGCAAGGCTCTCAGCGTAAAGGATCCTCAAGATTTCTTTTATTTTCTTTTAATGCGTGCAAGATAACATTACCTCGTTACTTCTTTCGTAGGCGTAAAAATGGATCCATACCATAACCACATCTATGTATCATTATTACTCCATATTCTCGATGAAATGGATGACGTAAGAAATTCGGGAAGGGATTCTATGACCTTTGAATCTAATAATTTTCGTCGAAGATCAATATTACGTGCCCAATCACGTATAAACTTGTTACAACATGGACATCGCGAGGGAAGCAGATATCTAGAGGCTCACAAAGAATTACGCAAGATGAAACTTTCCGTTGCCGTAGAACAAGTTAATATTATTTTACGTAATGATGGTAAGGGCCTGCGATATGCGTTTTTAAATAGAAAACCCTTTAGCCTAACTCTTATATATAATAAAGGCACGCTGATAACCATATTCCAGCATAGCGGAAAACTTGTATACAACCCAATTTTATCGCGAATTGACCATCCGAAAACAATACTGCGAACTTCGCAGGATGCAAGCCTGTTGATGGAGGCTGTTATTGATGCGATCGTTGATTTGTAATTGTCAAACAGCTCAATTTCTTAAACTCCAAATAATTTCATTTAATAATTGTGACATTTATCTTTATTATTAAAGAGCTCTTCCTATAATTGACTCCTACCGACATCAAATAGCAGAACTAGAAGGCAAATTGTTAATTCAACCAAAGATAGATTATATGCGTGGTAATCAAGTGATTCAAAATTCGTTTTACATGACTTTCACGGATAGCGGATAATATGACTTTAATCTTTTTTTTTAAAAAAAAAGAACTTCACATGATTTCTGGAGAATTGGCACTCCTTAAGAAGACATTGGCACCTGTTAAAGGGCTAGTGTCCATTCTAACGAAACACGGCGACAAATCTCTTCTATCGGAAGTGGCCAAAGTTTATTTCAGTGATGTTTCGGTATGCATTTCACCAATTTGATTTTTATTTATTACATCATATAAAGGTTTAAATATAACCATGTACTTTCTATCCAAAAATTAGGATCACTGTATTGACATTGAAGATAATTTAGAAGCAATGTTCAAAATTACCGAAAATTTGGTGAACTTGGTATATATTATATTTCTTTGAATTAATATCAATAAATTATTATTATTATTAACAATGATTAATTCCAGGTTTTCAATCTTATCGCCTATGATGTGAGTGAATCCGCGATTATGACCCGTTTTTTATCGGAAAATGATTTATATATATATTCTGTTCTTTCTATTTAGACAAATCAAAATATGGCTATTATTGCTATCATATCTATCGTTTTTTTGCCAATGACGTTTATTGCAGGATGTGAATATTATTTCAAATTTTTTGATAACGTTAAAAGATTTTTAAAATTTAACGAAAACCTTTTTTTTCTTCCAATTAGTCTTTGGAATGAATTTTGTGAATTTCCCGGAGTTGCAATTGCCATTAAGGCATGTATCAATTTCAACATTCGATATAGTTATAACCTCTGCTATACGCTTACAAGTTCTCATTCATTCTTTCATAGTTATTTCTGGTTGGTGACAGGCATCAGTTCAGGCGGGATGTTTGTGATGTTTACCTCTCGCATGTGGTCCAAGTGGATTATAAGATCCTACAGAAATTATCAAAGAAAGAAACTAAATGCATTATATGAGAAATAGAATAAGAGTTCCCAAATTTCAGCAAGCTTGATTTATTTATTCGGTCAAGGCATCCGGGGGTAAATAGTAAATTTTAACACCAGTCATTTAAAAAAATTTTCATACTGTACAGTGGTAACCAAAATTTTTACAGTTATTAATTTATTAAAATTATAAAAATGGTATATAGGTATGCTTTTATTTTTTCAAATAATTTTTTTTAAACAAATTTATTAATAATGATAAAAAAATTGAATAATTTAACATTTATAATTTCGAAACATTAATCTATAATAAAGATGAACAGTATAAAATTTATATTTATCAGACATGTTTAAATTATTAGCTAAGATTATTGGTGTCAAAGTTACTGTCTTACAAATATTGTAAACAATATTAGATTATATATTAGATTATGTTTTATTAAATAAATTAAAATTAAAAATTTTCAAAAAATTTTTTGTATATCATTAAAACACAACCCATCAATTTTTTAAACTTTTTTTAAAAAAAAGATTTCAAAATCGAGTCTTAAATTATTTTAAAAACAAATTACTGTATTATAAAAGATCATTAAAATAATTATTATATACTTGTATAAATTAATTTAAATATAAATTTTTTTTTTAGATCTGTAATGAAAAAACAAAAATTTATTTTGCATATTATATAGACACAGTATATGTAATATATACTTGTATATTATAATTTTTTTTAAAAAAGTGAAATTATCAATTAAAAATTTTTGTGATTTTTTTTTTAAACATATAATGTTTGTAATTTTTCTTGTCATCTTTTTTTTTTAAAATAATTTTTTTCAATATAAAATATTTAACAAAGACAATGAATATCCATTTAATTTCAAAATATTTTTATTAAGAATGAAGGAATAGCGATTTGTTTTTTAATTTATAATTACCATAAATAGATTTATAAAATACACAACGATTTTCTGATTCGAAAATATACTGTAATAATAATAATAAATTTGTTTGTTTCCTTACATGTTGGTTAATAATAACAACGATAATATTTTATTATTGTTGTTTAATTAATTTAAAACCGAAATTTTAATATTCTTTTTTAATTTCAAATACATGCTAGATCCATTTAGTTTAGGTTGAAAAAGTAAACTTTGTAAGCGCATGTTTTTTTTTCACTGTCATTTTTTTGAATCCCTTTCTGTGATAACAGTCGCTAGCGCGAAGTGAGACATATCGGGAAAACGTCTTATTGACTTTTTTTGGCTAGCCATTTCAACCCAAATGCTCATTAATTAGATCCATTTATTAGATTATTATTTATTTACATTCTAACGTCATATATCTGAAGTTTTTCTTAAAATGTAAAAAGTGAACACTAGTGTCACTTATGTCGGATAAGCTTAGATAAGTTTCTTGATCTGCCATTTGATTTATTCAGATTATTATAGGAAACTTCGCAAGTGCATAAATTTCTTGGTGATACATATTGTTTCCTGTAATATGCAAATACACTGTATATATAAACTATATATAATTACAGAAGACTATGTGTCGACTCTTTTCCTCAAAAGATTTAAAATATGTTCAGCAAACATTACAAAAAGGGTAAGACCCACTTAGCAAATGCTATAAATAAAAAATCAGGTGGTCATCTAAAGGAAACGATAGATGCATATTAAAAAGCAATTGAAGAATTTAAGACTCAAGGCTCCTCCCTATTTCATGACGTAGAAAAACGCTTAGCCGAAGCTTATTCAGGATGTGGTGACGTCTACAAAAGTTTGGGAGAAGTGGATAAGGCGGATGATTGTTATAAAGAAGCTCAAAAGTATGGGCCGAGACATCGCGAAGTATTGATCAAACCTGAAATCTCAGTAAATCCCTTTCAAACAGAAAGCATACCTATGAAAAACTCTTCTACTGATTCAAGTGTATCATCGACCTCCTTGATAGAGACAACGGCGCCGAACTTTTTACCAAAATTAGAGTTTTTTATCCAAGATCCCCCAGTAACACTCGAGCCATATTCGATTCATAGCACCCCGGGATTTGGCCTATTATCTGCAACCTAACAATTACAACCAGGAACAGGAGTCACAACTAACAGAATTAGCACTAGAGACTATTGAATTATTCTGATCTAATTTCTTGAGAGACCACAACCGCACTGTCTTATCATCGCTGCCCGATGCAAATTGAGTGCCATCAGGTGATAAGGTCACACTATTAACTGTTCTAGTATGTCCTTTTAGAATGCGTGGATTCTGATCTAAATTCTCGAAAGACCACAGCCACACTTCACGGTAGCTACCCGATGCCAGTAGAGTGCCATCCGGCGAGAAGGCTACACTTTTAACATCAGAGGTATATCCTTCAAAGGTATTGTATCTTTTCTAACGTTTCGACATTATAAAGATAAATTTTCCCCTCACTAGCGATGGCAAGAAAATGTCCATCTCGGGAATAACAACAGCAATAACAACCGTCCTCAAGATCAAAAAAAGGAAGTTCACCGAATTGCACGCCTTTCATATTAGCATCACTGAAATTTGCATATTGTAACCATGCCCTCTTGAAATTAACATCAGTTAAATTTGCTTTTTTAAATTGAGTACAATGAAATAAACCGTAACTTAAATCCGCACCAGCAATTTGAATGCCATTTAGATTCTTGCCACTAAATGATATTCCAGCTTTATTTAAAATTGAGATTTCATTTGCCGCGGCGATTTCGAAATTAGTGTCTTCTTTCGATTTCTCAATAAAGTCAAAAGGATTCTCCTTAAACTTTGTAGTTCCACATTGTTGCACGTAATCGATCAGAAAACGAACGATTCCGGGATCACGCAGTATCGAATTTTTTTCAAATAGTATGGAGCTAGCTTCTTCGCAAATCGACTCATAAATTGCCCGAGCAACAAAATATTCGAATAAAGATTTGTGGATAAATCGATATTGGTTACCATTGCGACTTAAAGGAGAATTGTAACGTAAAAGTCGTTTCTCAGGATCTTTATATCCAAAGAATTAGGAATGCCAGTTTTTATCATCTGCGTCTGAATACTCTACTATTATTTCATTGGCCTTAAACATCTCAACGGCCAATCCTTTGTTAAATCGCATACAATTTCGCATAAAATCATTGATATCCAATTCTTTAAAGGCTTCCTTTTCTTTTTCTTCTAACTGAATGCGACTTAAACGGTCCTGGGATCGCTCAAACCATTTTTCCACAAACTTATTATATAAGATTCAACGTGTAATAGTTTCTGCCAAGTTCTCATTCTCTTGTCGGTCTAAATCTGGCATGATTTGCATAGCAATCTTTAAGATAAAGGGGTTACCTAATAACTGATCTGAATTAGGAATACTCTTTAGAACGGTTTCATAACTTTGCACATCCCATATCTTTTGATCGACACCTTTTTGTTTTTCGACGTATTTTCTGATATATTCACGAATTTCCTCCTTAGAAAAAGGTGCTAGCCATATTTCCCGAAAAAGTCTAGGGTATTCCGGTCGACAACTAATAATAACCTTGGCATCCCATTGACTAGGTTTGTTTTTATCATATAAATTTGATTGTTGATCCTTAATCTCATCATATCCATCCAAGATAAATACAAACTTATAGTGTTGTTTCAAGTCTTTGATAACCTTCTCGGAAAAGTCTATTTCTTTTAAATAACTTTGAATAATTTTCTCATTAGAGTCTATAGTGGGAAGCGAAATAAATAAAGGGATACGTTTATCAAACTCGTCTTTTGATGAATAATCCTCCCAAAGACATTGGGCAAGGTGGCGGTTAAAAGTAGACTTGCCAGCACCAGCTTCACCTAGAAGCAGCAGAACCTTTTTTTCTGAGGCTAAGAAAGTATCAACCTCTACCTTTAAATCAAAAGAGTTCGTGGCATTTAAGGACCACTTTCCCTTTGGTGGAACATACAATCCTAATGCATATTTAATCTCTTCGTCTTGTTCAAGTTCACTTAAATATTCCTCTCTTATTTCTGTCAGTGGTTCTGTGAGATTCGACGATAAATTCTGTGATAATTTAAAACGGGCCTCGAATAATAATCTGGAATTAACTTCAGGCTGCTTTGCAGAATTCATTATAAATGGCACATGTATTGAAAAATTGTATACATCCTCACGAGGAACTACTTTATTAATCATCGCTTCAGCGTTATTTTTTAAACCTTCATCGTCTTGGCTCGCTAACTGTCGCAAGATTGCTAATGCCCATTCTTTAACTTCTGGATGTTGTCCCCACTGGTTTTCGTTTTGGAAAAGATCACCTAAAAACTTAACCGCGCCTTGTTGTATCTTTAAATCCCGTTGTGTACGGCGATCTGTCCCAAGCGTTGGCACAGTCCTATTAAAAACCATTTGTTCTTATTATAAGGACTTTGACGAACAAACTGCTCGAGTTTCTTCAACTGATTTTCTTGAATGAAAATATCCATGAATCGTAAAGCTAAATACCACTTTCTTGTCTGTTCAAACTCTATTCCTTCTTTAAATGTTTGAACCACCTCGACTAATTCTCGAACGCGATTTGCAATCTCATCAAAACCTCAAATGCCTCGTTAAAATCTTTAATGGTATCTAATAGTTTGCATGGGTCTAAATTTCTAGTTGCATTAACTAAGTTAATAGTTCCACTAGCAATTTTAAAGGTTCGACGTATAACTTCTTGCCAGAATTTTTCGTCATTTTGGATGTACAACAATGCCTGACAGGCGTAGTGGGCATGGTAAACTATCGTCGGATTATCTTATATCTTTTTTAATGCTTTGAGCTGTTGATTTAATGGTGCACGCAACTTCTCACGACTGATATCTTTAACGCCTATCCGCACCATGGCATC